AGTGGAAGGAAAAGGGTCCCAAAAGCAGACAGAAGAGTCATAGACAACCCCTGCTCTCACTGTTAGTAGTCCCACAAGAACACCAAGCTATGATACCATAAAGTACACACAGAGGACACAGGTCAGATCCATACAGGCTTCCTGATTGTTGCTTCAGTCTCTGTGAGCTCCTTTGAGCTCTGACCTTTTGATTCTGGGGGTTCTCTTGTGGTGTCCATGAACCCTCTGGCTCTTATAATCCTTCCTCCCCCTTTTCCACATGATTCTCTGAGCTCTGCCTAATGTTTGGTTGTGGATCTCTGCATCTGGCTCCCATCAATGTTGTATGAAGCCTCTCTGATGATGATTATGCTAGGCTCCAGTCTCCAATATAAGAGTATAGTAGAGCATCATTAGGATTCATTTCATTGCTTTTTTTTTTTTTTTTTTTTTTTTTTTTTTTTTTGCTAGTCATGTTTGGCTCTATCCTACATCTCTAACCCAGCAACATAGCAAGACCCATCATCTTTTAAAGTGGGCAGGTCTCTCCCCCTCTCTCTCTCTCTCTCTCTCTCTCCTCTCTCTCTCTCTCTCTCTCTCTCTCTCTCTCTCTCTCTCTCTCTCTCTCTCTCTCTCTCTGTCCCCTTTCCTTCTTCCCCACTCTCTCTGTATCACAACATCCAGGCTTAGAAAAGGATGCCAAAACCCTTGCTACAATGTGAAAAAAAAAAAAAACATAAAACAAAAGCTATCGTGGTAAGTGAAATAATATACAGAATATAGACAAAGACTGTTGATGCAATTCAGGGTGGAGATGGTTACATGTAGACACAAAGCAACAACTATACCGGGAAGAATCCAGAGATTTAACATATAAGGACTATATTTAATAACTCTACTTAAAACACACAACAGAAGAGGGTATCTTGCTGACACACACACTTGCACACACAGAGAGCAAATGTTTGTTTCATCTTCATGTATCTCATAATTTCATGCTGTATATCTCAAACATATAACCAATAAAGAAGAGGATAGGTGTCTACCCCAGGACCAGATCTGGTACATGAAAACTTCAGACACCTCAGTTCAAGGCTAACTCAGCCTGCAAGCAGAAGTAAGCGGAGCCACAGACCCCGGACAACTCACAGTAATTAAAGCATATTTGAATGTTATTGATGTTATTATCGTCAGCATATATTCTTTATACAGAATGATGAGTTTCATTACATTTTTTTATTCAAGTATATCATGTGCTGTGTGTGTATTTGCCACCACCGCTGCTGCACCACACACACACACACACACACACACACACACACAGGCACGCACAGACACACACACATGCACACTGATTGCACCTTTACCTTCTCCTGTGCATACACTCATCTACCCACTCAAGCTTAATCTCTTTCCTCCTCCCTTCAATACTTTTCTCTTTTAAGTCCCCCTCCCCCTGCGCACGCCCCCCCCCCCCCC